AGGGAGGGAGGGAGGGAGGGCGGCTTCCTTCAGAGGAAGGAAGGAAGGAAGGAAGGAAGGAAGGAAGGAAGGAAGGAAGGAAGGAAGGAAGGGTTTCTGAAACTTTGGGTAAGGAAAGGAGATTTTCATAAGCCCATATGCTAAATTCATGCAAATTTGTAGGAGCATTCTTATTCTTAAAATAATCAATTGTCTGGCTTTTTACTTTGCCAGTCTACCAAACCATGGGTAACCCCTTTCTTCCCCTGAGCGCTCCCCAGGCTGAGTCCTTCCTAGTGACTGTTCCCCCCACCACTAAGCCTGTCCCTCAAGTCTTGTTCTCAAGGCTTGTTATGAGCAGTTGAGCTGACAGCCATACCATGAGCTGACAACTAGACAGCTCATCTGAAGAGCACATGCAACCTGTGAGTTTGAACTGCTCTCTAGGACACCTTTAAGCATGGCATGATTTAAATTTTTCCTTTGAGTAATGGTTCATAGCATGAAGACAGCATTTTCAAGTTGTCAACCTCCTTCCCAACCCTCTCTATTAAATCATTTGAGTCTTGGGACCTACCCTGTATTGTTAAGGCATGAAATGGGAAATCATTGTTGAGGTTTTGCCCATTACCAAAGTCATGACCCACAGGGTGGGACAGCACTAGGAACAACAGACAGAATAAGAATGATTCTGGTATCGTTTTTTGACTTCCAATTTGAAAAGATCCAAAGCAAAGGAAGACTCCTCCAGAAGGCTGTTGTCTCTACTTGTTGTGCATGCAAGATGCTACTCACTCTCTCTGTCTTCTTCAGAGCAAGTGGAGAGAAAACACAGGTCCTTCCCTTGACCAACCCCAGCCCCACACACCAAACAACAGGGGACATCAACCCTGAACACTTTGCACATGGGTCTCTGCCCAGTGGGTGGCAGTAGATAATAAAAGCAGATAATGAGTGTTGATTAACAGTTGGACTTACAGAGGCAGGTGAGACCTGTGACACAATGGTCCATGTCACCTGATTTTTAGAGCATAAAGTGGGATACAGAAAAGGATACAGGCTCACATGGGGTTGAGCTAATAAAGCCTAGCCCAGTGTTATTTGCTCTGGAGACTTGTGTCTCTGGCCTTTCTTGACATGAATACCTGCAAACTCCCCTTCTGTCCAACAATTGTGTCCTAGGATAAGCAATAAAGATACTAGATCATTGATATGTTCAAACCACAGCAAGTCAAGATCATCAGCCTCAACATGCAGCAAGGCTGCCATTCCCTTTAGAGTCTACCCAGGACACAGTTACCTCAAGAGGCCTAAAGTTACATCTGAGTTTTATTTATGAAATCTATTTGTCCTTTCCTAAAAGGTTTCCATTCTTCTAGCAAGAAACATGGAGATAGAAACAGATGCCGTCAGCCTTGCAGGCAGACTTCAAACTCAGTAAAGTAAATGTTCCCTCTTCATGACATTACAAACAAGAACATCTGACACCTTCTTCTCCAGTCTTTCCATCTACTTTGATCTCTTTGCATTAGCTCACCAAAACAGGGAGCTGAGGAAGAGTCAGCGGCTTCTGGTAGGCAGGCATTGTTCCCTTGCTCTCAAACAGAATGCAAGCCATTTCCTCAGCCCTATAGAACCCAAAGCTTAAAATTTTTTTTTAAAAAAAAGTTTCTTCTGTTTCAAACTTAATGTCAGGTAATGTCTTCTGACATGGCAAAGTATACCCCCTTCCTTGTAAGTATGAATCAATAATTGCCCCTTATGAAGTAAAGTATATGTTTAAAATATCTGCCGTTAAATTTATATTTCTTTGAGTTTTACCATTACCACCTTTCTGACAGTCCTTATATTTTAAAGACCCTCCAAATTCATAAACAATACCACTCAGTATTGGCCTTAAGATACTACTGGTGTGTTATGTGTAAAATTCAAACTTATGCTCACACCTGATTTTCTCACAGTAATGTGCATAAGCATTAAAGAGTACATTCATAAGAAAGGAGAGAAGGCAAAGACGCTTTCTTGAAGGACAACTAAGCTAATGAAGTGAATTTCAGAATAAAGAACCACCTCATTTTAGATCCCAACCTGGACTTGGGGTGCTAGCAAAGGGACCTGCAGAACCAAGTGGACAGAGCTGAACAGCAAGGAGATGTGAAGAGCAACAGCGAAGTCCTATGCTCAGACCAGTACTTAAATAGCTGTCCCTCCATGCCTTCACAGCAAGAACCGCCACTGAATTCCAGATGCAATGCCCCATGTGGTCCAGGCCATGTTTTCCGGTGTACTGGGGCTATCCCAACCAGGGTGTAGCTACTTCATTCTGTTACTAAGAATATAACACAAGGGGGCTGGAGAGATGACTCAGTGGTTAAGAGCTCTGACTGCTCTTCCAGAGGTCCTGAGTTCAATTTTCAGCAACTACATGGTGGCTTACAACCATGTATACCTCCTACTGCTGTCTTCTGGCATGCAGGTGTACATACAGATAGAACATTCAAAATAAATAAATAAAATCTTTATATATATATATAGAGAGAGAGAGAGCGAGAGAGAGAGAGAGAGAGAGAGAGAGAGATCACAAACAGTCTAACCCCAAACTAGATGCCAAACATATTAATTTATTTCATCAGTTTCACTGATACATATTTTCAACAGCAAAAATTCCAAGACCCAAGCACATCCTATGCATTATAAAAGTCATGGGAAATATAAAAAGAAATATTCAGGGAAGTCTAAAACTGTCAGTTTAATGACAGGGCTACATTGAAACCAGCTTTAACCAATTAAATGAATTTCCTACCGACAGAGACTCCCACATCACATTTTGGAGGTCCCTACATAGACTGCCATTGCCACCTAAGCCTTAGGTAGTAGAGAGGAGGTTTCACAAACTCAAAAGCTTACATCAGAATTCACCCAGAGGAGTTAATGAGGCACACTGGGCCCAAGCACTCAAGTAGGCAGGATGCAGCCCAAACCTCCACATGGTGACCAAATTCTCCACAGCGTGTGTGATACTGGCAGAAGATGCTGTCATGCATCTGAAATTAGGCCAGCCAGCAAGAGCTGCCAGTCTTCCATGTCCTTTGGAATTCACTGTATATTCCTTCTTCCTTGACTTAACAGAGCAGTTTCCTTGGGCTCGGAGTCCTTTTCTGAACCATCTGTAAGAATAAGTCCCTGTATTCTACCCCTGGAACGAGCACTCAAAAAAAAAAAAAAAAAAAAAACTAACAAACAACAACAAAGACAAAGATAGACAGACAGACAGACAGATTGATAGATAGATAGATAGATAGATAGATAGATAGATAGATAGATAGATAGATAGATAGATGAAAGATTCACCATACTTTACTTCTGGGTCCTTAAGAAATGCTACTCTGGCTAGAGATGTGCCTCAATGTTAAAATGCTTTCTAGCCAGGCGGTGGTGGCCCGTGCCTTGGTGGCAGAGGCAGATGGATCTTGTGAGTTCCAGGCCAGCCTGGTCTACAGATCTACTTCGAAGAGAGCCAAGGCTACACATCGAAACCTTGTCTCAAAAAAAAAACAATTAGTTAATTAATTGATCGGTTGATTGATTAAACACTTTACCTAACATACACAAAGTCCTGGCTTCCATCCTAGTACTGTGTCCTTCTCCCAACAATACTAAGCTGTTTTGAAACGTAAGGTGACAAAATCACCTTAATTTTGTGAAAGCTTTTATTCCAATGTTAAAATTTCTTCTTCTGTTACACACACACGCACACCTTGAGCACAAGGAACATGAATGCAGCTCCATTCTGACACTGTCCTGTCAGAATGTCTGAAATCCCGTCCTAGCTATCTGTTCTTTAAGGAGGGGCATGTGACCAGCTAACAGAGGTGGTGGGTTCAGGTAGACTTAGGTCTAAGTGGTCCTCACCCTGGTAGCGACACTCTTTTTCTGAGAGGAGTCTTCCTTTTGTGAGTGGGGAGAAAACTAAGGGCCTGCAAGAGGCAGGCCTGGGTCAGAGACAGAGAGGGCTCAGGAGCTCAGGGGAGCCTGCGTCTAGCCGCTGGGAGTGATAGCCCTTGCCTTGACTAGCCTGTGTTTCTCTCTGCTACACTGGTGTTTTTTTCTCCCCAGCTGAAGACTTGAATAAATAATTTGATTTTCTGTTATTGCCGGCGATTACCGCATCTTCTTATTTAACTTATGTCTTCTTTCCAAGCGAGAATATCCAGGTTTCGGTTGGATCTATTTTAAGGTGAATTAATTAACCAGCATAATAATACATTCTTGTTTCTGTTTTCAATATAATTTTTACTCTAAAATAGTTACCGAACACTTGCCAATGAACTCCTAGTAAACCACACCATCTTTTTGGGTTTGTTGTGCCCTTCCTCCCTAACAGGGAAACCTGCCCCCGGACTACAGAATCAGCCTCATAGACATTGGCCTGGTGATTGAGTACCTGATGGGCGGGGCTTACCGCTGCAACTACACGCGCAAGCGCTTCCGGACCCTCTACCACAATCTTTTCGGGCCCAAAAGGGTGAGCTTCTAGCGTGTTCTTAGACTGTTTGGGGAGGACTAGGGAGGGGAGGTTTGAGGAACGGACTCCTGTCTCCAAGGGGCAAACAAGTTGAAAAACGGAACAAGTCGAAAAACAAAAACTTCACCTCCCCTCTTTTTCCATCCAAAATATCGAAATTCATTACTGAATTTTAAAATACTGGCCAAAATATTATTTCTGTTGTTTTCCTTGAAATTACAGTCCTACCTTGGTCAGCCTAAAAAAAAAAAAAAAAAACCACGCCTGTCTAAGTGTTGCTGTCTAAATAACCATAGTCTCTCTGCTCGTCTTTCCTTCAAATAAAAATGATCTTCCATTTTTGGGTTTTGGGGAGTTTGGTTTGGGTTTTTTGTTTGTTTGTTTGTTTTGCTTTTTATGCCTGCAATTCAATTCCAGAAAAAAAAAAAAAATCCACGATTCTCCTCAGGCATCATTGGGTCAGTCTGGCCAAAGTGAGCCAGGCAGGGACAGCTTCCTCTTATATCCCACGGGATGGTAATTGTGCACGCCTAGGACACGTCCTCATGGGTCGATTTACCAATGATGACATCTTGAGGACATTCCTAAGTGAAGCTGTTTGGGTTTGTTGTGTTGTTTGGCTGGTTCATTTGTGCCTAGCTAGTAGCAGGATCAAATGGCAGCAGCCAAGCTTTGTTACAGTCAAGCAGAGACCCCCGCAGCCTTGGGCCACTGGTGTTTTCCTGAATAGGGTGGGATCTCAAAGGCGTGTTGTTATTTCTACAGTCATAATTTGGGGTGTACTCCCTAAATGGGTCTGGGGGCTCTCGGGACCCTGCAACAACATCCCAAGCGCTTCCATCTCTGCTGCATAATATTCCTTTTTTATCTCTTTTAAAAAGTGTGTATGATTTCCTTAGTGCTTGGGTTTTATGGTTTTTCCCTTTAGTTCATGTAATTTTGTTTTTGTTCTTCTAACTTCTTTTATTTTTAACGAAGTTTTTTGCCAATGAAAGTATCTTATGGGGCCATTAGAAAACCAAAAATGGGGACAAAAAGTTTGAATGAAGACAAAAACTTGAACTTGCGCTCACTTTAGAGGCCAAAAGAGAAAAGCAGGGAGACCAGCTTCAAGCTATTTCAACTTATATAATTGTATCAAATTTGCAGGAACTGTCAGCTCACAATTCTTATTAGCTTCCTCAGTAGCTTCCAAAATGACCCCTACTGCTGTGCTGCATTTAGGAGCACGGGTCCCGGCCGTGGGCTGTGATTTCTGTTCTCCCCTTCTTAATTACAAAGCAAGCTCTATAATTCCCAAGTGGCCTTTTCTGTGGCCTTCAGTCGCGCCTGTTCTACACGTTTCCAGCATGGCCAGGATGTCACTGTGTGGTGATGTTCTCCATGCCACAGAGCCATTTCCACCACCATCAACACCTGCTCTGGTACTCACATTCTTGCTGCACTGTGCTGCACCAGAGGGCAGCTAGAGGAGGCATCTAAACGAACATTTTGAATTATACCCCAAGTCTCCAGATAGTAGAGGTTTTCCGGAGGTTTGAGAAATATCTTGTTTGATCTGTTGAATGTTTCATTTTTCATCTGTCTTCTCTGCTCAGGCTGCTGTAATAAAAATAGCATAAACTAAGGGGCATATTAAACAAAATCAATGTATCTCTCACAGTTCTAAGTTCAAGCACAAGATACCAACTGACTGAATGTAGGTAGAGGGCCTGTTTTCTGCTTCATATTTGGCACTTTCTGGCTGTGTCTTCACATGGGAAAAAGCAAATAATCTCCCACTAGTCTTTTTGATAAGGACACAAATTTATTTCAGGAGGTGTCTTCCATAAGGACATAACACTCTCCCTCAAATACCCACCCCAATACCAACAGTTGTCAATTAGAATTTCACCATTTGATGGGGATGGGAAGGAAAACATTCAGACCATAATATTCATTCAACTGCTGGATATCCTGGAGGTGACAATCAAGCAGGTGGTTATAGGAAAGGGAGAGAAACTTTGGTCCACAAGAGGATGATAAACCTTCAGTTATATCTCTTCAGCCTTCTAATTCTCTGTGGTTCACGAAAATCACAACATCTCCAATTCTCCTAGAATTCTAAAAAAAAAAAAAACATGTTCCTTTTATTGTGTTTACTCAGTGACATAAAATTAATGCTTTACGGTACAGTAGAGTTCTTATATTATTTATTTGCAATATAGTAGAATTCGTTTCTTACCTCAATGAAAGAAAGATCTAACTTTGTTCACAACATTTTTTTAAACAGCCCAAAGCCTTGAAACTTCTGGGAATGGAGGTTAGTGTTTGCTCAAATTATTAGTGTCGATTATTCTCTTTCTCACATATTTAAAAGATATATGAGTTCATTTTAATAGTAAGGCTTAGTGCATGATTCTAAAATATGGAAATAAAGATTTTCCAAGTGCCATGATGGCAGCTCACAGTAGCTCTTAAAATTCCACACTGAATTTATGTTAGCATTGGGTTAAAAAAAAAAAAAAAAGATAAATCATATTGTAAATACTGACTTGAAAACTGAGTATATAAACTTCACAGGCAAAATCAATTATAGATATATACAATGGCAACAGATCCAAAGAATGTCACAGATGCTTCTAATAGGGATGCAGGCGCTTGAGCGGTTGTGTTCCCATCTTTGGTTCATTGTTTATTGTTGTTATGTGAAAACACATGCATAGGCTATCCTTGCTTTGTCAGAAAATAAATACATAAATAAATAAGTAAACAAGGCAATGCTGTCCATCATGGGGTATAGACAGCCACACCTGTGGAAGAAGAAATGAACAAAGAATGAAAATGGCCTTTGAAAATACTTTTGGAATTTTTGAGACAGACTCTCATTATGTAGCGCATCCTGGCCTTGAACCCACCATCCTCCTGTTTCTGACTCCAAGGTGTTGCTGGGATTTTAGGTATTCACCACTGTGCCCAGCTTAGAAAGTGCTTTTTTGTTTTGTTTTGTTTTGTTTTGTTTTGTTTTGTATTTAAGTAAAGCATAAACTGACATGTTGATAGCTGAGTATGCATTTACTAAGTCTTATTTTTAAATTAGTCCTGAAGGAGCTTGTGAGTCTCTTTAGGATAAGAGCTGGTCTGGTTCATTTCAGTGTGATTCTAGGACTGAGCCAATGGAAGGAATACATAAAATATGTAATGAATTAATCTGATTCACTTTCAACTCAGCCTGTATTTGTTTCTTTAAAATTGCAGGATGATATTCCCTTGAGGAGAGGAAGAAAGACAACCAAGAAGCGTGAAGAAGAGGTGGACATTGACCTGGATGACCCTGAGATTAACCATTTCCCATTCCCCTTCCATGAGCTAATGGTGTGGGCTGTCCTCATGAAGAGGCAGAAGATGGCCCTGTTCTTCTGGCAGCATGGAGAGGAGGCCATGGCCAAAGCCCTGGTGGCCTGCAAGCTCTGCAAAGCCATGGCTCATGAGGCCTCTGAGAATGACATGGTAGATGACATTTCCCAGGAGCTGAACCACAACTCCAGGTTGGCCAGCCATCACATGAGGAGGGAGGGGAAAGAAGGAAATGCCAGAAGTTCTGGTCTTCATAAAACTTTATGGGGGCAAAAAAGCCACCCCACTAGAGCACACAGAGGGTGAGCATGAGTAATTTGTCCTTATTATTCATAATGCTGCACAGAGGTACAAAGGGAGTACACCAATTATCACTCATCCTCTAGAGTGCCCTCAAGCAACAGGTCATATCATCATGTATTTCCTATCCAACTTAGGAAATCATCTCAGAGAATTTAGGCAACATGGCCGATCATACCTGGTTGGCAAGAACTAGATTTGAACTTGAGGCCTGTCACACTGAAAAAGACACACTAAACTCTAATCATTGCTTGATTATTCTGCCTCTACCTTCACATGCCCTGATTTGGAGGCCTTGAGCTCAGTAGTCAAGCTTTGACTTACATCTTCAGTTATAGACATGGTAGCTGGCACATAGAGAATGCTTAAAGGATGTTGACTAGGTGGGTTTATGAGCGCACTAGACCTTACATGAGAGAGCTACTCCACACAGCAAGCTACCTTTTACAACTGAACAGGGGGGCCCATCTTTGTTCATGGCAGTCTCCAAGTTGTCCTGAAAGAGTGTCCTGTGCACTGTCTTTCAGGGACTTTGGCCAGCTGGCTGTGGAGCTCTTGGACCAGTCCTATAAGCAGGATGAGCAGCTGGCCATGAAACTGCTGACGTATGAGTTGAAGAACTGGAGCAATGCCACGTGCCTGCAGCTGGCTGTGGCTGCCAAGCACCGTGACTTCATTGCACACACATGCAGCCAAATGTTGCTTACAGACATGTGGATGGGACGTCTCCGCATGCGCAAGAACTCAGGCCTCAAGGTCAGCATGCCCAGAAGCGATCTGTTGACATAGAATCCAAGGGTTGGTTGGAGTTTTCCAAGCCAAATTTGTGGTGGGTCTGGGGGTTGTCTTACGTTGGAAGGTGGTATTGACCCACCACTATTCCTTAGATTCTCCTTAGAGATGTGATTTTCATTTAGGGTCAAGAATTTGAACTTGAGGACTGTCACATTTATCAAGGCAAGCTACATACACTCTAGTCATTGGTTGGTTATTTTGCCTCTATCTTGAGCATGCCTTGGGTGGGGACTCTTGAATGCAGATCTCGAGTTCTACCCAAACAGAATCTTCTCTCACATCACAAAATGCAGAGTGCACACAAGTCCCGTAGGGGGTATCTTAAGCTCTGGCATAGCCATGCTACCACAGGAGTCTCACCTAAGCCACCATTCTTGCCCTGTGAGGCTGAATACCCTCCCACCCAGGTCCCACCCAGGTCCCACCCAGGTCCCACCCAGGCTATCCTTGCATTATGTCATATCACAGAGGCATGGGCTCTGATAGTATGGCCTTGAAAATTTTTAACTAAACTAAAGTTGAGATAGATTTGTTTATCAAGATATTACTCACTTTAAAAAAATGTTGGGAGATTGGGAAATCAAACCCAGAACCTCACATAGGGCAATGAGCTACATTCCTAGTGCCTGATAGATTCTCAAATGAATAAACACAAGTCACAGGCCTGTTTGAACAACCTAAGCCCATTTTAAAATGTTGTGTATGTAGCTGTAGGTGTATAAATTAAGGAGAAACAAGAGGAATGTAATCAAGTGTATTTAGTAGTTTCCAGGAATATTGAAGAGACCGTGTGAGGTGCTTGTTCTTAAGAACAGGAAGGTGGGTGGCAGCTTTCGCCTCCTTTGTAGTTTTAGAGCAGGATCTCAGGGCTCCACACCCGCCAGGAAAGCTTTCTACCTTTGAATTATACACTCAGCCCAATTTTCGCTTCTTCTAACCCTTTTTTATGATTTTCAGGTAAACATTAAAGTGAAAGGATTAAAGGGGGTGGGATAGATATAAGTGATCAAGAGAATGGAAGGGTGTTTGTTATGTTTTGTTTTTATGCCAGTTTTTAATTATATGTATTTAAAATAAAAATACGATACTTTACATACACAGTGAAATAATTACCAGAGCTAAGTAAATTGTCATATTCATCATGTTACTGTTAGTTACCCCCCCCTTTTTTTTTTTTTGCATGTGGTAACATTGGCTAAAATACACTTTCTTAAGAAATGGCCAGTATATAATATGATGTCATGACGATGTTGGACACAATGTACATAAGCTCTCTAGACATCCTTACCACACAATTTTGCATCCTCCCATCTTTGGCTGCATTTTTACTGGGCCAGCACTGTCTGTCCTGCTCCACCTTTCTTGGGGGCTCTTAGCCCAAAGTCACAAAAAGGTTTCTATGAAGTGTGTCATGTGCTACATTCCAGAGTCATGCTGCTAGTGGTTACCAAGCCTGGCCTCAGGTGGAGGACCAAGCCAGGTCTCAGCTCCAAGGACAGGGATTTGTACCCTGTAAAGATAGCCAGCATGCCATTTGAGCGCTCCACGAAACCTATAGTGCAGAGTCATTGCTGGCCCTTTTTTCCTGACTGGACTGGAGTCCCTATGAGTATTTCAGGATCTGGTAGTCCCAGTAAGAGCATCATTCTCACTGACCCTTCAGGTTCAGTTCAGGTTCAGTGTCTTCAAGGAGGCTCATCTTCAGGAGCCTCATACACTGGGACCATTTTAGAATCCAGAGAAGATGGAGCGCGTGGATAATGGAGGAGAAAGCTCTGCCACGAAAAAGGCCCATATATTGAGCATCCTGACACTGAGATTCACATACAGTGTTTACACATGAGAGCAATGTAATGCTGGTCTTCCTGGGGCTTCTGTGCACGAAAACCGGCTATTCCTGATAAATACAGAGATCTCTGGGGAGAGGGATCTGTTGTACACTAGCTAATGCCAGCAGAATGTTCTACAGTAGGTAAAATGATTTTTCTACACGTGCCTTCAAAGTCAATTTAGAAAAAATTTCTTTACAGAGACCACCAGCTGACATAGCCACTTGATACAGTCACAAACAAATCCCGGTACATGTACATGAAATGATTTTACAAAGCCAAGTGCTGTCTAATGACTAAATGTAACTCTTATGTTTTTCCACCTTGGATGAGCTTTCTTTCTTCAGTTTTCCCCAGGAAAATGAGAATTAATAGGTTAAGAAGTATTTGAGCAAAATAAGTATTTCCTAGAAAGGACAAAAAAAATTCTTCTTTATGTGTTTGGATTTCCAAATATGCACATCCCTGTAGAGTAAACACAACACCTGTACGTGTGTGTGTGTGCACAAACACATACACTTATGCCACATCCCAGCCTCTCTGATTCTAAGCTACCACCCTAATCTTAATCCTTTAAATGTGATTATTATTATTATCATTATTATTACTTTAGGTAATTCTGGGAATTCTACTTCCTCCTTCAATTCTCAGCTTGGAGTTCAAGAACAAAGACGACATGCCCTATATGTCTCAGGCCCAAGAAATTCATCTCCAAGAGAAGGAGCCGGAGGAGTCAGAGAAACCCACAAAGGAAAAGGATGAGGAGGACATGGAACTAACAGTAAGAAAACACTATGCAGTTTTTCTCCCTGGATTGGGAGAATCCCCCAATCCAGACATCCATTGATGTTGCCAGGGTTCAATAATGCTTGAGAGTAGATAAGGCTTCCCCAGCCTCCTGTCAGGTCTAACCATGGAAGTGTTGAGACTACAATATCATAAAAGTTTTCTCTTTGTGCACAGACAGCTCAGCTCTAGGACCCAACTGTATGTAAAGTCCTTCTGGCAATGGTACTGCAAAATAAATCAATGAAATTCAAAGCCAGACACCCTCAGATTTCCAGGCAAGCATCTGTTTATAAACATGATGGTATGATTGGCAATCTTAACACACAAGAATGAAAGGGAAGCCGTGAGCTGTGAGCAGCCAATTTTGCTGAGCTGGAAGCATTCGTTGGGGTCAAAGTCACAAACCCAGCACTAACTGAATTTTGAGGTTTGTACGGAAAGCTTTTATTAGCTTCCCAGTACAATTATAGAACACGGATGCTTTGTTCTGCTGAGAGAACAAGACAGCTGTGCACAGAACCACTTCCCACAGCCCCCACCCAAGTGACATGACTGCCACTGGCTTGTGCCCAAAGGCTAAAAATAGCCTGTGCTATTAAAGGGACAAATAGGGCTTCATAGTTTGGGAGAGCTGCATCAAACAGCAACTCTATAAGGACAGTTTTGAAGTGCTTCAGCCTCCCTCATTGCCACTGGCTACAGGAGTGATAACCCAGAAGGAGCTGTAAGAGGAGAAGATGAAAATTGGTTTGGTTCAGGTGACAAAGAGACTTTGCGTGAGTCTCCTCACTGGGACCACCGTGGGACATGTTTATCTTTCATATGCACAGTGCCTCTTTCCAGAAGCCCCTTCCTACAGATCTGATGCTAAATATGAGCCTTCACTTACAAGATGCAAAGCCAATTTTTGTTTCAGCTCCCAAATCATTGTAAAAATCTATGTAGGCACCTGCCGTGGCCTGCCCAGCAACAGCATCCGTTGAATTTCATGTCATAATTTTGATCTCTGAACTCCTCAGATAAGAAATGATATTTTAATCATGGTTAGTGTTGATGCTGGATTCTTGCTGGCTGTTTTAGCAGAGAGGTAAAGAGAATGTACTTTGGAGTCAGAATCCTGCCCCTTCACCTACTTGCTTTGTGAACTTGAACACAATTCCATCCCTTCAGGAGTGGGAGCATAGGCTTGTCTGCTCGCAGGTGGCTACATGGTTTAAAGAGTAAACCGCTTAGGCACATGCATGTGGGCTACTTAGACTAACAACTAAATATTAATAAACACTTGCTTATGCTGTTGAAACAGTGATGCACACTCTGTCCGCCCTCACTCATGGGAGCACATCATGCCCAGGTAGACATTGTTCCACCTCACAGATTAGAAGAAAGGGACTCAGATTTTAAATTGCCCCCATCTACACAGCTGCTTAGTTGCAACAGTGGGATTAGGATTGAGACATACATGCTCCATTAGCTATTGTTATGTATGTAACATCCGCTAACTGTCGAGAGAGAGAGAGAGAGAGAGAGAGAGAGAGAGAACTATTTTCTATTCTCAGGTGGTCCTGCTTAGTGGATTTAGTTTTCCACAGAGCAGAGAGCTTCCACGGGATGCCGGCTGTCCCAGATCAAGTATGGTCCCTCTCAGGCACAAATCCTGGGAGGATAGCCAGAAACTGAGTGGTACTCTTTGGCTGGGTATAGAGAAAGGAGCATCCTTTGTCTCCTAAGAGCTTTAGGGCCTTTGATCCTTCAGGAAGCCACTATCAAAGATGTCTCCCTAGTCCCAGAGCACAGCGGGCTTGCCAGGGTGTAGATCCTAGAACTGTGAACTTGAGTAGGAAGTGCAAAGATGAGTAGACAGCTCACAGAGAAGAGTAAGGTGGGGACTTGTGGGCTGCAGGCTTTCTGTGGGGCAGCCCTGTCTTCAAAGAGAGCCTCTTTTCACCCTGGTGCCAAATTCTTTCTCCTGTTGCTTCTCTGGTAAGCATTTTACCCTAGACAGGACTGGAAAAAGGAGCTCATTGACAAGCCCATTCCCTTCATGGAGCTGCTGTTTGAGCTTCTAGCAAAATGAATGCATCCTTTCTGAGAACAGGACATCCTTGGTTGCTTCCAAAATGAAGCCTGTGCACCCTGCTCATCATCCTTAGCAGCTTAATTTGCATCAGGGGCTCTTTCTCCACTTTGACACCTGTGCCCAGCTGGCAGAATCTCAAATCTGTACAGAGTGATCATATGTATGACCCTGTTCCAACCTCTTTTTCTCCTAGAAAGTATTTTTTTTTTCTATTTTTAATGTTTCTCGCCTACATAAATGGCCCTGCTAAATTCTGCTTTAAGCAAGGTCAAAGGAAATGTTTGACCACAGGGAAAAGAAATCAACAAAATCAGCAAATTAGGCTGCGAAGGCTAGAGCTGATAAAAGACTGTAAGCCTGTGAAAGACAAGTCTTTGCAAGTATACCCCACTCAGAACAAATGTGAGTGGTGGAGAAAAAAGCAGGGTGCAATGTTTTATTTGACCTTTATAGCCAAGTAAGTGTGCCAGCCTGTGCTTAAGCCTAAGACAGTTCCAGCATGTGCAGAGGTCCAAGACTACCTATAAATTTTCTAGGAAAGCCATTGTCCCTAAAGATGTCACGCCGTAGGATATATGAAAATCCTTAAATTATCTTTACTTTCATTCTATGGTGTCCCCAAATGCCACTGAATTATTGGGCATAGAAATAAGCAGAACAGGAAGAGAGTAGTTGTTACGTAAATTATAGGACAAATATCTCATACAGCCGGGGTCTCTTGAGGCCAGTGACCAACATTGGTAGGACTCTCCTGTGCTTAACCCATAAGACCATTGATTCAGTTCACTGATGAAAATAGATACATACCATCGCCATAAAGTGAAATCTTCCTACCCATTAGCTCAAGGCACCTTTCTCACCAGAATATAGAAACAAACAGAGCTCGCCTCTCCAGAATTACTGCTGGATAAACATAAATCATTTGTGTGTGTCATACAGTTGAATGGACTGGCTATAAGGAAATCATTGAAATAACTGGAACTAATATTTATATGTGTTGTATCAGGTAGCCAGAAAACTAAATCATGGCGTGGTTATCTGTCCTTAACATCACTGAAAATTGCAATCATTGCTATAATTAAATCTCTTAATTTGAAACACATGTGCCAAGTACTATGTCTTATCCCAAATCCTTGTCAGTTCTGAGCAGTTAGAATGTCTTATCCTAGTCTCACATATATTTGGAGTCTCAGGCTGTAGCAGGGGTGGGGTTGGAATGCAGCAGCTCATCAAGTAAGAGAAAGCGCTGTGAAGGCTTGAGGACCATAGTTCAAACCCCAGACCTACATAAAAAGCTATGACCGCATGTGCCTAAAACCCAGTGCCAGGAGGTAAAGGCAGATATCGGAGGCTCACTAGAGTTTACTGGTCCACCAGACCAACACCAGGTTCAGTGAGAGATCCTGTATCAAGAGACTAGAGTGGACAGAGTGGAATAAAGTGATTGATAGAGAAGCACACTTAATATTCTCCTCTGGTCCCTGCAGGCACGTGTGTACACAGATGTACAGCATCACAAGTTTACGACATTCACACATAAAAGAAAGACACAAAAGAAGAATCCAGTTTCCTCACACTGTAAAACTAGCCCTGTCTAATAATAATATTGAAGAATTAAAGCCTGTACTTTGTCCTTTTATTGACTCTCATAGCATGCACACCTTTTAGATGAGGGGCCCTTCAAGCAAGAGTATCCAAGAAGGTCCCAGTTAACTTGAAGACTGTCTAGTAGTTACTGAGCATCTTATTAAGTGCCAGATATTAGTACATAGGCCCCAAGGACAATAACCCAATTTACGGCTAAAGAAAGTAGGTCTCGGGGGGGGGGGGGGCTAAAACAACTTGCCTGAGAATGCACAGCTTCTGAGTATTCAACTCAGAACTCATTTTCCCATCTGAGTCATCCACAGCCTAGAAGCTGTCACCATTAGACTCTCTGCAACAGCCTATTGTGTGCTGCCCAGACAGGGTATATCTTCCTGTTCTCAGATTCTGCTGTTTTTGCAATATTTGATCTTCATTACTCATACTGCTACTCTTGTGGTGTACAGAGAGGGACTCCACGTTTATGGAGACCTCCAGCAGCTTGGAGCTAAGGACCATTTCAGATCAGGCCTGCCTCAAATCCTTCTCCTAGCCCACCTGGCTGCAGAGGAAGGCGCTATACCCAGGAGTTACTATAAAACTGATAAGGGCAATGACTCCAGTCTTAAAGGTTTAAAATGGAGGGATCACTGCCCACGCTTTGATATGGGTAATGATATTTTTAGCCTAGCTAAATTCCAGGCACTTCAGATGACTTATTACTTGAACGCTCCTGTGCTTTGGATATGTGATGGGCTCTGACCAATCTTCCCTCTGACTAGAGAGTCACTAGCACAGGCATAGACAGAATTTGAATCTGATCTAGCACATCTTATACATATATTGGAAGAAGGTAACAGAACTAGAACAGATTCCTGTAGCCTGGCCTTCCCAAACACTGCTTATTACCCGTTTCAGAACTCAAAGTACATCCTCTTGCCTACTTCATTCAGAGAGTCCATAAAAGAGGATCTTATAAAAGAAAAGCTCAAAAAACATTCCCCAAGCCTTCTGTCCTCAGCAGAAGAAATACACAGCTTACACTAATATAGTGCAAACTCACACATAAAACAGGCATGCCTTTAAATCTCTGGAGTATGCGGTTTACATTCTTGGGTTCTGTTCTGTGAGCTCTCAAGTGCCATGAGCGTCCCTCTGAAAAATGCCTACAGAGCTTAACCATGATGGTCCCTGTTTTCTCCCACTATAGGCAATGCTGGGGCGAAACAACGGGGAGTCATCCAGAAAGAAAGATGAAGAAGAAGTCCAAAGCAGGCACCGGCTAATACCCGTGGGCCGAAAAATCTATGAGTTCTACAATGCACCCATCGTGAAGTTCTGGTTCTACACTGTAAGCATTTTTCCTACCCCCTTTCCAAATGACTAACCACAGGAATGGGTGCTCCTCTCTCAGGCACCTGTGTGGTTTTCACTGAGCAGCATTCTGTGGCACGTGTGCAGGAATGGAAGCTCTGTGACCTTGTTTTTCCAGTAGCTACACAACATTCGTAGACTTTGCTGGCCAGCTTCCATGGGCTGCCTTTCTCCTTGCCGCAGAAGCTAAAGGAGCTGACAGAGAGTGAGGAGTAATAGAAACAGGGGTGAGCTGTGTATGAGTTTAGGTCAACATGAAAACAAATGCCCTTCTTCAGAACACTCTCTTTTGTTGCCACATGGATGAGGACTAGCACCGAGTGGCCCATTACAGGTGACCATCCTGGGCTTCAGGGGACCACTTGTGGGTCAGGTTGAAGCACAGTATAGATGTGGCACCTCTAGGGACAGACAGCGTCTATAAGTAACAACTTCCCACCTGGTAATGACATTAGTCACGTTTTCTTACTCAGACACAATTAAACTGCAAGCAGCTCAAAGCAAGAAAACCACCAGTGTGGCAAGCATTCTCCAAAAATCACACCCCACATACACTTCCTTCCAGCAGAGCCATGGGCTGTCCCTGAAATGGCATCTGAGAAAGTAGAAATGGACATGGCTGGGTTTCCTTTCAACATTTTCCAGCAGTTCTCAACCTTCCTAATGCTGTGACCCCAACCATAAGATTATTGTTGTTGCTGCTTCATAACTGTAATCTTGCTACTGATATGAACTGTCATGTAAATATCTGATATTTCCCATGATCTGAGGTAACCCTCTGTGAAAGGGTCATTTGACACCCCCTCAGGGGTCATGACCCGTCGGTTGAGAACCGCTGAAGCTTTAAGTGAGCTGTTGGCCTAACCCCCTCTGATTCTGTCCAGCCTGGTGGAGCGACACCAGCTAAAGGACAATGTGTCTTTATTTTTAGACTCCCTCACAACCAGCTGCAAAAAGCAGCCATTCGGGTCAACAACAGGGTAATCTAGGTTTGGGAAGAAGAGGGCTCAGATGACCATGTGAGTTGCTTCCTGTGCAGTCCTGCATGCCAATATTTAGCACTGGCTTTAAAGCAGTGCTTTGCAGCCTCAGCACTGGTGGTATTTCAGCTAGGATAATTCTTTGTCATGCAGCAACATCCTGCTCTGTGCCCACCAGATACCACTAGAACACTCTGTCCTTTAAAGATGACAGCCAAAATGTTTCCAGGCACTTGTAGGATAGAAATGACTGCTGGCTAAAAGCCACTGCTTTAAAGGATGATCTTCATGGTGTCTGAGAAAATAGAAAAGTGCATATTACAAAATAAAATTTCCAATGTATTGACATTATAAAATAATGTCCACCTTAGAATAACATACATTGAAAAAGTCAGTTTCCTTTTTTTTTTTAACAGCACTCTCTCAAGATTCCTCTGCTGAAAACATCAGAGCTGTGACTGTATGCAGTCTGGAAAGAGATAGGCTGCACATAGGGCCACCCCTGTCCCTCTGTGCTCTGCAACCCCAAACAAGTTACTTTCCCATTCCACAGATGGACATGACATGAGCCTGTGATGAAAAAGCATTTGGGGCTGAAAGTTGGTCACAAGTACCCTGGACAGTGCCTCTCAGCCGTGGCACCTCCAAAACAAGATTATTGGAATCACCCTCTGCACTTTGGGTTTTGGTTTAAGCCTGGGTCTCACCCAGGTTTTGCTCAAACTCCTGATCTTTTTGCCTCAGCATCTCATGGCTGGGATTACAGGCTCATGTCATGTCCATCTGTGGAACACTTTAAAAACTTGCTCACCCTGGCCTGCACTCTGAGGGCTTTAACGTCATCCCTCTGGGTACTGCATTAGAGCTTCCCAGGTCATTGTCAGGAGTAGCCAGGGATAAGAAGCCCTGACTCAGGACAGAGAGTAGTGAACTTTAGCCCATTTTATTTAATGCCCATGATAAGAAAGAAGTGGGGAGGTTGTTTAGCAAAACACCCCGGTGTCTCTGATGATTACAGAAACACTGCTTCAAACATCATTTGCAGCATGCTTTGGAACTTATTTTATTAGTTGTCCTAATTAATTGCCATTTAGTTAGGCTTATGGTTTCAAAGGGCCAGAGTCTATAATAATGGTGAAGGCATAATGGCAGAACAGCAGAGAAAGCTCTCATCTTCAAGTAGGAGACTGAAAAAGCTAACTCAAAATTATGTGAGTCTTTTGAAACCTCATATAGCCACTAAGAGGAGAACAGGCACTCTAACATATGAACTTACAGGGGTCATGCTCCTTCAGATCACCGCAGGAGCCATCTTTGACAGTGGGGGTTAGGTGGCTCTCTCTCTCGTGACTGACTGGGTTAGCATCACACACAGTCTCCCACTTGTGTTCAAATAATTCCAGAAATGTGTGTTCACATGGTGACAAAACCCAGACCTCAAGGAAATGAGTGGAAAGGAGACGGCCACGTTTTTGAGACCCCCAACAAATGCTTAACAATAAAACTCATCAGATCGGTGGTTGCATTTGCTGTGGCCTGTGTTCTCTGTAAGAATATTTCTCTCTCAGATTTCCAGAAGTTTCCCTTCTTCATCCTCTGTCACTCTGTCCAAAGGGAGCCCCCCACCTCACTCCCCTGTGACCTCTTGTCCTCATCTCATCTTCCCAGAGGAACAGGTGGGTCCTCTTCAGTTCCAGGATTGAAAAAAACAGAGATCCAATTGGCTCACAGCCCCTGTCTCTGCAGAGACACTTTCTCAGTTGTGAATTGGAAAAATTCGAGTTCAGGGTGCAAAAACATCGCAGCTCAGAGACATGATGTGAACTGTGTGTTACAGTGACAGGTCTTTCCCAGAGGCCCTAGCAGGTTAGTGGACTTACACAGGGTGTCCTGCATGACCTGAAACTCATGTTTCTCTGCCTACCTTCCTTCCTAGACACGCGCTAGACCTAAGTTCAAAGGATGGAATCTGTTAGTAAAATTAGTTAAGTTTCTTAGATGCAAAAGTTTTGAAGACCCATGTTCATGTAACATGTGACAAAAGGAAAAAATGCCTTGGAATATTTTGCACTAAACTTCAAAAAATGTTAAAACAAATAACAACAACAACAAAAAGAAACAAACAAACAGGGCACTTAACAAGATTCACTCCACCTTGAAGCAATAGAATTTTACTCAATGAAAGGACAGCCTTGGCCAGGAAAAAAGAAGCAATTCCAGGCAAAAGGGAGTAGAGTGTGTTAGTCAGTTTTACCCACTGACTTCCTGCCTCTGTGTTTTGTAGCTCTGCATACAAGGAGTGCAGAGCAGACGTCCATGTGTTCTTGGTTGTAACCTAAACCCATGTGAACCAGCCGCACTTGGAACCAATTCTTCAAGAACGACTCACTAACTGATTCTGAAGCGGGGAGCTGTGGGAACCTAGGCATGGACCAGGGTAACTGTAGTCGTGGGGGGCGTAAAACTGCAGCGCTCCCCCTTTGTCACAGTCTGATTGTTCCAGATGTGATGCTGTTTACCTCTGTCGCAGCTTCCCCCTTTAGAGGAAGGGAGGGCTGGGAAGCAGCTCTCGGAGGCCGAATGTCTGCCTACCTTGCACAGGTCTTGGCTTCAACCTCCAACACCAAAAAAAGGAAAAGAGGGGTAAAGTTAGATAGATGAGAGAGAGAGAGAGAGAGAGAGAGAGAGAGAGAGGGCAGAAAGGAAATTCTCTGTCACCGCTGTGCCTGGACATATGTCATCAATGTAATGGGGGTGTCAGGGTACCTTTAATTCACATATTTGGTTTATAAAAATTGAAAGAAGGAGCCCATTGGGAGCTAGATAAGACAATGTCTGGTCCCACATCTCTTATCTCCTAGCCAAGCAGTGGCTTCTGCCATTTAAGTTGTTTTATAGCCTAAAGTCACCCAATGTCTTCAGCTTCTCAAATTCTCAGTCCTCTTGCCCACATGCTGTCCTGTTCTTTGCCACATGACCCCGAAAGAATGCAAATTGGAATCAGCTCACTCTAGGTTCCTGCTCACAGCCCCTGAGGCTAGGCAGGGCCCTGCTCAATGTGAAGCATTGCCCGCAGAAGGTTTTGCTCATCTGCCATTCCCCTTGGGGTAAATTTTCTTATGCAAGAACACCACCAATTCTCTTCTTCCCGCATTGACATCACTGAATTTTTTCAGTGATAGATTCCAAGCCTGGGCCCTGAGCAGTGTTCCCAAAACATCTAGCATTTCAGCCACTCATAGCAGGGTTCAAACTCCAGATGCTGGAGCCTCAGGAGGATTAGCCTACTCTGGTACACAGCAGGCCACACTCCCCGGGCTTTCCTGTAAGTGGCTTTTTTTTTTTTTTTTTTTTTTTTGTCTTGTTTTAAAGAAGCAGAAAGCAAACTCAAATATTCCAACCGGACCAGGGCAGGATGAAAATACAGTGAAAAATGGGCAAAGTACTCCCTAAGAGCCGACCACTGTTGGTCAAAAACACCAGAAAAACATAAACTCAGGAGAGGGCAGAAGTGGGCCCTTGAGATTAAATCTAGGCTACTTACACTATAGTTTTGCCAACTTATAAGTACTATATGTAACTTCCTTTCCTTCTGGTGGGCATTAATTTATGTGGCATCTCTCAGAAAAAAAAATGAGAATATTTATATTTTTAAAATTGTTTTAAATAAATAATATTTTTAAATAATTGTCACCCTAGAATGGAAAGCCAGGTCTGTACCTAAGCAAGAATAGCCCTGTGAGGCCAGCTTCTTTTCTAAGCCAGAACACACCCATACACACGCACACACACACACACACACATCTACACATGAACACATGAACAAACACAGACACACACACAAAAATGGTGATTGGCCCACAAATTCATACATAGTACACAAAGGACAAGCAATGTACTAGGGCCCCAGAGAGATCTATAAGGGTCAAACATTGCATATTTAATTATTTTAACTATTATGGTCTTTTAAAACATGTATGGGGCAGAGATAGCTCAGCTGGTAGAGGTAATTGTCATCAAGCCCAGTGACCTGAGTTTGATCCTCAGAACCCACATGGTTGATGGAGAGAAACAACTTCTGTGAATTCTTCTCCATTGGAATGCACACAGAAAACCAATAAATAGTCTTTGATATTTAAAACCCTATAGTGGATTTGTCATGGACTCCCTGACCTGCTTAGTGAGCTTGCTCTGTGCTACCATGCAGTGGTCTTGTCTAGGGCCCAGCTCCCAAGGCCTCTGCAGCTAGAAAACCATTATTGTATTTCCTTGCAGCTGGCATATATCGGATACCTGATGCTCTTCAATTACATCGTGCTGGTGAAGATGGAGCGCTGGCCTTCCACTCAGGAATGGATTGTCATCTCCTACATTTTCACTCTGGGAATAGAGAAGATGAGAGAGGTAACTAACTTTATAAATGAAAGCAAGAGGGAAATGGTGGCTCCTCATATCTGAGGATGGAAAGCCGAGAAGGATGTTTGGGGGCCAAATTAAACCTCAAACTGTGCTCTGTAAATCTGCTGAGGGAAGCTGCTTTCTTCTTTGTCAAACCTAGAGAAGTTTCCTAGGGCCATTGAATCTATTTTCTGCTCATAAGCCTTTTGCCCCAAGACATCCTCCAGTGGCCTTCAATATCATTTACACTTCCGTCTTCTCATCCCTATGAAGATGACTTTTTTTAATTTGTTATTCCTAACTCCCATTTCAGCCCTTTACTTGGGGTCTCCTTAGACATTGTCCACCAATCTAGTATCGCCTCTTCAAATGTGTTCCGACAGCTTGCCGTCAATCCCAGTGACCTGTGTTCAATGCCCAGAATGTTTATGGTAGACAGAGAAAAACAACTTCTCTGCACGTGTTCCTTTATTCAGTTTATTCGTGAGTTCATTCCTTCTTGAGTTCTTTCACACACATGCTGAGCGTTCTCCAGCCTTCATCCTCTAGGGAGCACCATGAGGATGGACACACAGTTTTGGCATTTTACGTTGAGGATGTAATAGTCTCGCCTCACCTACCTCCATATAAACCTAACAGGGCCACTGAAATGCCACCCCTATGTGATTTGTTTGAAGTACGGACAGGAAATCTTATCTGGTACTAAAAGAGAAATGAGCTGTGAGGCTATGGGAAACTTAGCAGTGTGCTGTGAAGAGAAACAATTCTGAACAGGATCCACTCCGTATGATTTCAGCTATATGAAGTTCTGGAAAACCCTACGTAGATGCTAAGAAAATTGGTGGTTGCTAGGGATAGGGCATTGGAAAGATGGAAACTGAAGCTCAGAGTTTCTATGGAAACAAAAATATTTTGTGTGCTACTCTAGTGATGGATTCGTATCATTCTACATATGTTCAAACCCATAGAATGTGCCCTACCCACAATAACCCATGAGTGACAAAACTTGTCAGCAACAGTGCACCATTTGAAAGTGTGAGGGGGGCTGCGGTGCGCCTTTGTAGGGACCAAAATGTACCATGGAAAGTGCTTTTTTGCGAACCTAAAACTGCTCTAAAAACTTAAGTAATTTAAAAAAAGAAAAGAAAAGCTAACCCCAGCGGCTTCTAAACTCTATGTGGTCAAGAACAGTCCACAAGGGGGCGCAGCAGTCCTTTTCAGTGCTCTCCACAAACTCCCACCTCACCAGAGAAAACCTCAGGGAAGAGGGGCTTGCAAGGTGATGACTGTTCCCTGAAACTGCAGTGAGTGGGCTAGGCCTTTTCAGTAGGAAAGGATCCTGTCAAGTCGGTGCCTTTCTGGGAACTCCAGAACAATCCTGGTTTCTGTATTATAATGGGGGGGCAGGAAGGATTGTTAAAACCTACAAACCCACCTTCACCTCCCAGACAGATTCAAAGATTCTTTCCCTACTGAATTTCATCTCTGGAGTGTTTTCCAAAGAAGAAAGATACGTATGTATAATATTTGATTACATTGAGAGTTAATACACACACACATCAAATTCAGTACCATCCCCTGGGTCTATTTGGGTGCTATTTTCATTCTAATGGGCATTTCCCCATCCTCAGAGCTTGGGAGAGGTATGCAAGTCCCATCTGATCAGACACCAGATGAAATCACTAAGGGACTAAGATGCCTTGTGTTGCTGCAGCTGACTGCCTGCACTATATTCTGCCATTCATAGTGCCTTCCGTTTCTTGAGCGGTGCAGCAGCCTTGTAAACTGAAAAACAGTAATAAATTTGCCTGGGATTTTGTGTAGCTCTGAGAACTGAGCCTGCTCCTGCTAGGGGCCCTGCCGCTGTGTGGTGCCAGCTGGCATTCGGGAGACTTAATACCCAGCCACATATTCCTTCCCCACCACAAGCAGAGGAGGAAAAGACTGGAGTGTGGAGACTGGAGGCTATCCAGGACTAGGCTGGAAGAAGACAGAGAGCAGCCTGTACTCCTCGGACTGTTCTAGAGTAGCTGCCAAGCAGGCGGGCTGCCAGCAACCTCCAGGCCCAGCTATCCATTTCTTATGAAGCTGCGTGTCGTGGCAGGCAGGGTGGGGCTTCCGATCCTGGGTCAGGACTGGGTCAGCTGAAGAGCACTTGCCTCTGAGGAAGATGTGGGAAGCGAGGTTATGGCCATTTTTGCGCCTAACCTTTTTCTCTGCAACTGGTAGGGTCGCTGGGGGTCCATGTCCCTACCTTGAACTCTGTAAGGATAGGCTCAACTATGGAGTAGCTGATGACTCCCACAAGTGCCAGCCTTCCTGCCTCCTTGTGGTTGGTACACAGGCCCTGGGGAACTCAGACATGACATCCTGGAAGCATGGAAAAGTTCGCGTGCTTCCGTGCCTCCCAAGCAAACACAAGAGAGGCTGTGGTTTCATGTGCTGCCCTTCCGTTCTCTTTACCACATACTTCTGCACGTAGTCACCAGAGCCAGCCACAGCAATCCCTTAATACTATGGAACTGTTTACAGCAAGCCTTAGTAGACATTACCTCACACAGTTCTTCCACAAGTCTGTGAGGTCAGTGACAGCCATGATCACATCCATTCCCGGTTTACAGGTCTGGGAAATAGGATTGAGCAATTGTTTGGTATGCCACAGCTAGAGAAGTGAGCTAGCTCTGAAACCAGTTAGGTTATCTGAAAATCGCTTCCTTTTCCACTCCTCCATTATGCTCTACTGCAGTAGTCCTCAACCTATGGGTCAAGATCCCTTTGGGCACTGAATGACCCTTTCACAGGGGTCACCTAAGACCATCAGAAAATACAGATGTTTATATTATGATTCATAACCATAGCAACATTATAATTATGAAGTAGCAGCAAAAATAATTTTAAGGTTGGGGCTCACCACAGCATAAGGCACTATATTAAAGAATGATTGAGAACCACTGGTCTACTAGTTCCCAGGATACCACGGCCTGTGCTAACAGCTAGCTTAGCAGTGATAGGGCAGAGGGGGG